CCTCGCCACCCTGCACTAAGGCCCCTGCCACCCTGTGCTGCACCACCCCAGCTGACTTTCGCTGTCTCCTTGCTCCAAAATGCCCCTTTGCAAAAAGCTCCTAGGCGGGGGCGGCACGGGGCCAAGATGGCATAGATAGAGGGGAGATAGGTGCGTGGGGGGAATTGAAGCGCCCTTGTGGTCAGAAGTGTGGGCAGGCTGCCAAGTGCCTGAATTTTGAACAGGTGACCGTGGGAGGCGCTGCAATGGCCATAAGTTCAGGCACTTTTTTCAGTGCGTTTGGAACTTTGAATGGTTGCTGAACGAATGGTCATAAGTTGAGGACTACCTGTATAGAAATAGATTTTTTCCTCTAACATACTTTGTAACATATTTAAATTTCTGAAATGCTCTGTCAAACAATAGCAAATTCACGCTGTAAATCAGATTCTTCTCAAATTACAGCCATTCCATCATAGTAACCTTCTTCCTTACATATAGCCTCAACCTATGTATCAAGCATTACATTATCAGCAAAATGAATTACTGAAGAACAGAATTAAAATAATTATTTGCATACGATTTTATTTGTAATAACAAACATCAATGGAACGCTAAGAGCTTGAGTTGGAGAATATGCACCATTGCCTTTTCTAATGGATCATGAGCTAAAACTGTATAATTTTATACAACAGAATGAGCAACATGTGGCTGTCCAGATGCTGAATTATAATTTCCAGTCCTCAAATATGCAACAACACATTCTGCTAATGGTTGACAGTTGCACTTTTACTTTCCACAAATATTTTAAGCCCACTAAAGGGCTAAAATATTACTAAATATTTTTAATATAGTAAAATAGTAACTAAAGTAACTTTAGTTTAAAATAACTAAATAGTAGTTATTTTATCACTAAATATAGAGAGCCAGTTTGGTGTAGTGGTTAAGGCATCAGGCTAGAAACCAGGAGAGTGTGAGTTCTAGTCCTGCCTTAGGTATAAATCCAGTTGGGTACCTTGGGCCAGTCATTCTCTCTCAGCCCTAGGAAGCAGACAATGGGAAACTACTTCTGAAATCTTGCCAAGAAAACTGCAGGGACTAGTCCAGGTAGTCGCCAGGAGTCAAAAACTGACTTGAAGCCCCCCCCCCAAAAACAATTAATACAAGTATTTAATATATGTATTTGGTTTTTTTTAATTATTCCAAGCTTCTTGTCACTGAGGAAATTGTTGACAATTTATATAAGAGGTGGGCAGCCTGAAGGTGCTTTAAACTACAGCTCCCATAATCCTCTGCTATTGCCTATTCTCACTGGGTCTTAGAACCCAAAACATCTGAAAGAGATCTGTTTGGCTATCTTTGATTTAAATTATAAAAGCCTGGTAATTGTATAAATCAGTTATTTTAGCACAACCCAGCAAGCAGTGCTCTTATTTGGGTCACTAATCCCTTTTTGCTTTTCATCAGAAAGATGATTTGTTCGTGTATGAGTTCTTTAAAATGTTCAGAAAAATAATAATTTTTATCTCACAGACCTGAACCCTTGGCTAAGTTTAAAAGTGTCTTGTTTTGCCTCTATTCAAAACTATGCTTCAAGCTAGAAATGTCTGACAACAGACAGCTAGAAGAGCTTGTGGGGGAGAAATTGAAATAATATTTGTTATTAAACTTTATATTCCCACAAAGCATACCAAACTAGTTTTGTACTTAGTAACTGCTGTAAGTTAGTGGAAAGCTTCTTATTGGAAAGTAATTGTAATTCCTTCTGCGGGAAAATGGCTAATTAAGTTGTCGGAGTACGCCTTGATATCCAAAAAACTTTGCATTTCAGAAGTAAATCTGACATAGAATTTCATTCAACTTATAAGCCACTTTTGGAGTATAATTCTTTATATGAGCTTGTATCACATTTGAAATTTGGAATTCTCTTAAGATAAAAGTCTTAGCATTCTAGCATTCAATAGTCTGTTAAATAAGGATTGATTTTTCACTATTCAGACAGAAATTACTGTAATTTCTATTCTTATTTTATGATTTATATAATGCTGATTACTGCTGTTGATATTTTTATATTACTTACATTTTAACAATGACATGCAGTTTTTAAAATAATAAAATATATTTTCAATTATGAAAAGCTAACTAATGAACTAAGGAAATTAAGATTAGGTAATAAATTTACCTAACAAATTTAATCCCATTTAATTATATGATGCTGTTAAAATCCCTGTTTATTACAGGTAGTCCTCACTTAATGACTATTTAACAACAGTTCAAAGTTACAATGGCCTCAGAAAAAGTGCTTTACGGCCTGTACTTATGACCATTGCAAACCATCTCACCACCCCCTGCAGTCACACAATCGTGATTTGCGACCTTCTTTATGATGATCGTGAAGTGAATCACATGATCGTTAAAGCAAATCACGTGGGCGTTAGGCAAATTCTGGCAAAAAAGTCCATTGACAAAGCTGGATTCACTTAACAACCATGTGATTCACTTAATGACCATGTGATTTGTTTAATGGCTGTGGTGATTTGCTTAAAGACCATTGTAAAAATGGTAATACAATTTGGCTCTGGTCACATGGTGACTCACTTAATGACTGTCCTGCTTAATAACTAATTTTCTGGTCCTTATTGTGGTAGTTAAGCAAGGACTACCTGTGCTTTGTTTTATTTTTCTTTTTTTGCCTCTTTTTCTTTTTTCTAGTTTTTCTATTTTCCTTTCTCAAAAATGTTTAATAAAAATATCATCATCATCATCCTAAGAAAAACCATAGGAATAACATATGCAGAATTGTTCCCTAGTAATTTGGGAACCGTTTATTGTTAATTGCACAAATAGACATAATGGGTACTACTACTACTTCTTTTTTTTGCATTTTGTTGCTATTTTTAATTCCCTCATTTGGCCACTGAACAAAGAAAGTGCAAAGGGGACAAAACAATAGTTCCTTCTCACTGAGAATGCTGGCAAGATGCCTAATGAACTGGATGGAAAATGCTCAGACAACTGTTTCTTTCAAAAACAAACACTCGTTTCAAGTGCCATCCCTCCTGAAAGTGCTGCTTTGGATTTCAGTGGTAGTTGAATTTGATTCCTTCCCCCCACTCCCCCCAAAATGTTAACAGCAAATCCTTTACTTAAGAAAACCCTGGATGAAGCAAACAGGGATTAACCTAATTGCAAAAATAAATACTCTCCACCCTTTGTCTGTTAATGTATCCTTGAGTCATACCTACTCCCTCTGCCAATTTTTTTGTTAGAAGCTGAAGAAACAATACTGTCCAACAACTCACCATTTCTTAAGTAACAGGTAGAATTGCTACTAAGGGTTAGTTCCATGCTAGTAAGCCAATAGTTTACCCCAATGTTTCTCAACCTTATCAACTTTAATATGTGTGGACTTCAACTCCCAGCATTCCCCAGCATTCTGGCTGAGTTTTAGGGATGAGTTTAGAAAGTTATTTGTTTTATAAAGTATATTAAGCAATATTTTACGGCTTATGTTATTTTTTTCTTTTCTTGCATAGCCTACCTCAAAATGGCAACGGAACATGCCACCAAGTTTGGTCAGAAGTAGCTTTAAGGACCACAAAATAGGGGTCCTTAAACCCCCCTCTGAATCCCATCACTGAAATTCAGTTTCATTGGTGACACAATGATTTGGGGGGCAGGGAGTTAAATAAAAGAAAGTTAAAAAGAAAGTTAAGCTTGTAATTTTATATACATGTATGTATGTATGTATGTTGAGGAAAATACTCCACAGCCAGTTGACTTTCCTAAATAAATATATACATCAACCTTAAAAAGAGCTGAAAATGTTGGCCTTGGCCGGCAGCACTTTCAGCAGGTTTCACCACATCCCCATTGGTGCACAATGAAGAAGATAGTGGAATAAGGCCTGGGTGGGGGAAAAGATACAAATTAGGGTTCGCAAACTACTGAGAAGTCAAATGGCACCAGCTTGTGTAAATTACTCCTCTCCTCTTTGTCCTCTAAACTTTCATTTCTATGATGGCTCTACTGAGGGGTCACCATGAAAAGGGACTCTTTGCATGTTCAAAGATGCTCCTTGACATGCTCACATTACCAAAAGGGTTCAATTATGACATATAAGAAAGGCATGATTCTATAAAAATCATCAAGTCACAACTATAAGAAGTTTGATACCCGTCCCTCCCTCTGCCCCCCCCCACTTTTTTTTAGAAGTAAAATCTTACCTCAGAACAAAAATAAAGATCTCTTACCAGGCAATCTTACAGGTTTCCATGGTGCAGAGTTTGGCACGTAAGCTTGTTTAGTTGCAGTAACAATTAGCTGACTGTCCAGCTTATACTGAAACTTGATGAAGGCAGTGCCATCTGCTCCGGAGGTTCCTGAAGCAATGGGAACCTGGTTGGTAAAAATCTCAATGAAGGCTTCGGTGACTGGCTGATGTGTGCTGGCATCGCTGACATGGACCTTCAGAGTCACTTCTGCAACAAAAACAGAGTGGCAATTAGCACGTTCCACCTTGGCAACAAGACAAAAGCAAAGCAAAGGCAGGAAGGGGAGGACCAAAGGCTTTCTCCTGACTGCTGAAACTTTCCGGTATGTAGGAGAGTTCCTTGCCAGTGATGGAGCAGTAAATAGTGCTGTGCATCAGGGTGTCCACAAGCTGTGGCCAAAAAAGTCAAGCTGGTGACCACAATGGTGCAACACATATTAAAAAATAAGCAGAGCTTCAGTCATACTGTGACTGCCAGTTTGACCTTTTTGACCACATCATATGGACATCCCTGTGCATTCTTGACAAATAAGTTCCCAAGAAGAATTTACAGTTGTACTGTATGGGCTAATGGATATATGAGTAGTAAGAAGCAAGCAACTCTTGGTGGTCTGGGACTACAGTTTTGGGGAGAATGAGATATTTTGGGGGGGTTGTTGGGTTTTTTGGGGGGGAGGGTTTTTGTGTGTGTGTGTACATCTATGTTTTTAAATTTAAGGATTACATGACAACATCCTTCTCCTTACAGTATTGTTTCCAACTGACAGAGATTACCAGCCCACCATGCCAGAACAACATCCAAGCACCTCAGAAAGGGTAAGCTAGGCTACCATCCTTAAACCAGAATATCAATCGCAGATACGGAACAGGACAGAATGACAAGATCTGACATGTGGATGCTCATTAGCCAATTTGGGAGCAGGTTTGTGACAAGATTATGCAGTGGGCAAAGACAATCCAGATAAGCTATTTCCCATAACTGTTTGAAAAAACCAGGAACCACATGATTGCAACCCAACCCCCCACATCTCATTCCATGCAAAGGTACCAAAACAAACACAGAGAGGTTCAGAAACTGGAAACTCAGGAGAAGACTGAGACTGTAAAATGACTTGGAGGACAGAGAGAGATGAGCAAGAGATCCACAAGACAGTACAAGGGCAGGCTAAGTTGCAAAGGCCAGAACATGCTATGAAGACAAGTGTAAAAATATTACTTTTCTGGAATTAACAAAGTCCTATGACTGTCTGCCATAAAAATCACTGACAGATGTGAAGGTTGTACACCTTACATCCATGCTTCAAAGCCACATCCATCTGTCATGAAGGAGAACAGTGGAAGTTGCAGAGGTAAGGTAGCCACAGGATTAAATTCTAATGCCAAACCAACAATATCCTTCTTGTGATCCCAGGTCCTATGCGAATCCAATTCTTGGGATTACAAGTCAACTTATCCTGTTATACACAGCAGCAAAATATATAGTACAACCCAGAGGAACCCATGATTGCACTTGAGGTTTTTTTTATTGATACTTTAGTTTCCAGTAGTCCTTCCAGTCTTTTAAAGAAAATATCTCTTCCATTCTTGTGGAGAAAGGAACTTTCTAAAAAGCAGCTTAGAGGTTCAGCATTGACTAAAGAAAATTGCTTCCAGTTTGTATCCTTACTATTTCTATTTGAAATGTTTTATAAAAGGTGGAGATGGACAAATAAAAAAGAAAGGGGGGGGGGAGAACCAGAAAACAGAAAACATCAAAAGGGTACTGATCACTTAGATTTTCTACAGGAGAGCCTTCCCCTGCTGCCTAACATCTGCAATTAACAAGGATGTTTTCCCTCACTTTGCAGTCCAGCACATCTGGAAGCTGCCAGGTTGGGAAGGATTAACTTAGTACCAACTACAGATAACAGCAGGTGCTAAAGTGTATTTTATTTAAAATTCCCATATCTTCAGAAAATCTTCTTTTACGCAACCACATATTTTCTAGCATATTATTTAGAGCATTAGTCATGATTCAGAATTCACCCTAAGAAAAAGTACTGTCTGTGCTGTCCAAATTTTTCAACCTCCTACACATACTTCATTCTCCAATAATGCCACCATAGTAACCATCCAGCTACTTCTTGGTAAAAATTGTTTCAATATTTTTTGTGGGGGGGGATCAATAACCAATCCTGATCAGCTCTTTCCATCCCACTCAATGATTAAGCATTAATTTCCTTCCCTTGATCAGTTTTTAAATGAAAGTTTATGCAGAAAGATAAGCAGTTGACCTAACATTGAAAATATCTTCCCACTGTGTAATTTGGATATCCAGAGAGGGGGGAAAATAAAAAAGGGTTAGAAGGAAGAGGGAAAAACACATTATCACCTTCTCCAAATTGTTCTTCCAGACATACCATTACCCTTAAAACTGAAAGCTCCCAATTGCCACCAGCACCAGAAGCCAGTGGTAGGTTTATCCCCCATGAACCTGTAAACTGCCCATCACCACAGTTATAGCAACCAAATTCTTGACATCCATGCAGGATGAGCACATGGACAGAATGTGGATTATAAATTGTAAGATAATGCAACTTTTAGCTTTGTACAAAATGTTTCAAGAAATCTTGTCAAATTGAATTCTATTTGGGGTAGAAGAAACATTACAATGAAGAGAGACTTACTGACATTCTACATTTTATAACTGTACAGCAAGTAGCAGAATGAATATTTATTTTTTTGAAAACAGCAAGAAACCTAAGCTCTTAGGTCTAAAACTAGATAGACTGCACACCATATACATTTATTTTCTTCCAAGTCAACTTTCATTTTAAAAGAACCAGGATAGTGAAGGATAATGAGGCACGTGCAGAAGATATAACCCTTCCATCTTTGGAAGGCAAAAAGGATTTCAAAATGCTGAAAGCTTATAAATTCAACTGTTTGGACTGTACTGCATAGGGGCATAAAATTATGTAACTTAAAATAAGAGAAAAGGAAGATGATAATCAAAGGGTTTTGATTATAATGATTCACCCATAATGATCCACTCCCCTTTATTGTTTTCTGATGAAGAAGCTTCATAGATTCAGTGTTCAGCCTTTCCAGCTTGGTGCCATCCAGATTCACAGGGATCATAACCATCAAATTCCCCCAGCAATATGGAGGACATCAGGTCACAGAACTCTGAAGTATCTCAAACCCTTCCAAAAACAGCTAGTAAAGGATATTCCAATTGAATCTGTCAAAACCCATGCAGATAATTATTTCTTCCATTCCTCACTACCACAACCGACTTTTGGGTGGTCTCACATTACGTGTGATTAGTGTTCTTTCTTCACTTTTGCTAAAGTAGGCAGAATGGTAGGAAGGCAAATGCGCCCTGCTTAAAAAAAGTCCATAAAAATACTCTTACTTGTATTAAAAACAGTCATCTCTAACTGCAGGATTGTCACATAAGTATAATGTTTGCACATGAGGGAGTATGAATATGGATGTAGATTCTGTTGGGCAAGTACACATTGTACATCTAGCACAGCCCTGATGTATAGAAACCCCAACCAAGTGAGAAAACTGTAATTATTGAATTGTAGAGGCACTCAAACTCTCCACGCTTCTAAAACAGATTCAACTTTTCTGTGGCTGCAGGTCACTCTAAATTCAAATGTAGACCTACATAGGCACAAATTGCCTGAAAGAACAGTATTTGAACAAAAAGTTATGAGGCCAAGTGTTTACTCTAAGATTTTGTAGCCCCTATCATGAGTTGAGGGACAATGTCTGTAGTGGAAAAATTTATACCCTGTATAAATGTAGGGTATGTCCTGAAATAATGTAGGGTCAAACTAAATTTTAAGATGCAGCTTTCATCTATCAACTAGATCAAGGGACTAACTTTATCTGGGAAGCTCATCCATGTAATACAAAACCCCCACTTAGTGTGTCATGTGATATGTGTACATAAGCCATTGCTGAGTAGCCAACTGCCTAGTGTGTTAACGCTGTTCCAGCATTTCTGGAGGAATATGGTGCATCTGCAAAATGTTTTTAAATTAACAGAGCTTTTTTTTTTTAAGTGTGCAGTACAAATAATGTACAATATTGCAGATTTCTGACAGAGGAAACAGCCCTGTAGTTTGCTGCATTTAGTGGTCACACAAACTGAACATGCTCTTAACATTTACATTCTTTCTTCTTGAGCATCTTGGCTAATTACACCCCACTTGCTTTTACAACTGAGAAGACAAACCACAATCACTAAGTTTTGGTCAAACAGAGTCAGACAAATATAACTCTTATTTTCTATTGCTAAATTTGTTCTACCACGAAAAGAAAATAAAACTGCCAGAGGTTGTAATTTGAGGAAAGGTGCATTCAGAAGACACAGGGATCCAAAATCAAAACCAGAACTGACTGATCTGATTGCTTAAGGCTGAAAAGAAAATTTGCACAAGATTTGATGAATTCTCTGTGCTCCATCTGTTTGGCAAACTGATACTTCCCCTTTTTTAAAAAATGGGGATTGTCAGTTAGCAGGGGACTATCAATTAAAACATCCGAGAGCAGTAACTTGAAATAATCATTTGGCAAGCAGTTAGGGTTCCTGGCGGCCAAAAGAATGCTGATATGTGGAGATCTAGTATGTAAACTTTCCATATAAGCTCAGGATGTGTTTGGATAACAAAAATCTCAATATATAGTTTATTTGAAAACTTCCCAGGTGGGATCAATCCTGATTTCCAAATCTCCCTTAAAGAAGCAGACAAGTAGCATAAACTGTACATTAAAGGCTTGATTGTGCTCTCCTTGTCCAGTTCTACTGTGTCCCCAATACCCACTTGAGTGAGATCGTACAAAGGAAATATTTCACAACACAAATCCCTTTAAAACAAGAACCTGAAGCCCTTCTGTTAAGACAAAAGAAATGGATGCTGGGAGTTGTTGTCCAGCAACATCTGGTGGCCAACAGGCTCCACCACTTGCTATGAACAAAGAAGTTATTTCAAGGGAGAGGCAGTCTAAAAAGTTGGGCGTAGAAGGCCAGATTAATCTCGGACTGTTAAAAGGAGAAGCTCTCTTCCTAACTTGTTGGAGCTAGTATTAGGACATAAACTGAATGCTAGCGGAGGAATGGCCAGAGAAACATACCAGAGAACTGAAGAAAACTAGTTGCCGAGTTAACAGTGAAGTACACTAAGAAGTATAGGTCATGGGAGATCTCAGGATATCATGGGAAAATGGATGGAAGCATCTAATGTTTATTTTTAGAACACAAAAAGAATAAATCTGCTGCTATGGAAAAAAGGAAGAGAAGTGAGGAGTTCCTTGAAATGGAGAGGAAGGATTGGGAGGGAAGTGGGAGGTTTAGATGGCTAGTCAGATAACATCAGAAAGCAATATGTTTGCTAGATAAAAAATAATAATAAAATAATAAAATCAAGCAGAGTTTTTCTTTCTAGTAGTATTTGCTTGCTGTTTCTTGCTCTCAAAGTAAATAAACAATAGCAGGGGATATACCTTCCTGAGATGCATGTGGTGTTTTGTTTTTTTTTAAAGGCATGGGCAAGGTGGTTCCAGGTGGTAACCTGGTATTCGTGTGGTATTTTGAACTACAATTCCCATCAATCCCACCTACTATGGCTATTAATGAAGGATTCTGTAGCCAACAAAATCTGGAGTGATACAGACTCTCCACCCTACTGTAAACAATGATGCTATTTCAACAACAAAATGCATAACCTAAAACAGTGGCTTTCAGACGATGCCCTTTTAACACACTGGAATTCCTTCAAACCATAACACAGATCCACCCTTGTAATTTCCCCCAATAGGTGTGATTGGATTCCAGCCCAGCCCAGCATTCCTAACACAAAGTCCACTGAGTAGAGTGCATGGCCAAGCTGGTAGAGGCATGACCACCAAAAAAACAGAAAAGATCCAAGGGTTATGGTATGTAAAGTGTTGCCATCATTATGAATGGGGATTAAAAGGAATGGGGGGTGTGTGAAAAGGAGTGGGAAAGAAGCTGGCAACCCACAGAAGGATCTACTGACGGTATATTAGACAGATCCAGAGTTAGAGAGTTAGAAAATCTCCAGGGCAGCAGAGCCAACCAGCAGGACAAGGGAGTAGTAGGCAAAAGTACAACTAGGTGGTACTGGACACCAGTCATAGAGACCAGTGAAAAGTTGAAGCTCTAGTGTAGAAGATTCCGTTCCTGATGCTTATACCGGAAAACACGAAGGAAAGCTAGCAAGGGCTGAAAAGAGAAGGACCAACTACTGGAATAACTAGCATAGGATGTCTGCTGTCTCTAAACTGGACAGGGAATATCTGGGAATAGAATATTTATCTTTAGAATATGAGAATATAGATAACTGTTGGAAGGGGGAGAGGTTTAGATTCTTAGGTCACTGAACAACAGTAAATAGTATGTTTGCAAGTAACTAGCAATACTTTTTTCACAAATCACTTTCTTGCTTTTGCTTGCTCTTTTACAATAAAGTGAACAAAACATAATATCTACCATAACTTCCTAAGTCCCATGTGTTTGTTTTTAAGGCAGGTGTAGGCAGTCAGTGCCCCATGCACAATCCCCACCACTCCTTGTCAGTGTGTCCAATAGTGAGAAATGCTCCACACTGAAATTCAGCAAATGTCTGGAGGGCCAGTGAGTCCCTACCTTGCTGTAAAGAATGAAGCTACACCAAAAGGTACAGCCTCATACAATGGCTTTCAAACAGAACTTTCAGAACACCACAAAATGCCTTGAAAATGTATCTAGGCTATATGATTCTTCTCCCATGGCAGTGAACTGAGAGCCAGGGTGGTGTAACTGTTAAGGTGCTGAACTGGATCCAGTAAGACCCAGGTTCAAGTTTATCCTTAGCCACGGAAAGTCACTGGGGGACTTCGGGCCAGTCACTCTCTCTCAGCCCAGTGTACATTATAGGTTGCTGTTGGGAAAAGTTGGAGGAGGAAGCACTCTACATAATGCCTTGAATTCCTGAATCAAAGGTGGGATTGAAATCTAATAAGGAAACAAGTCTTTACACGCCTATTATTCCAAAAACAGAATCAAACCACAGAGTGCATGGCCAGCTGGTAGAGACATGAATGCCAAAGAGTAAAAATTGGAGCACAAGAAAAATGTGTCAACACCTTCAAGATTAAAAGGAACTGGTGAGGAGGGGGTGGTGGAAAAATGCAAAGCAGGATAGCACCAAAGAGAAGGAACAACTGATGGCCTAATCAGGATAATCTACATAGAGAAAATAATGCTGCCTGGTAGCACAGCCAGCCTACTAGCCCAAGACAGATGGGTCAGTGAAGCCTATTTATTTATATTTATTTATATTTCAAATTTGTCACCACCCATCTCACTGCAGAGTGACTCTGGGCGGTTTACAGCAAAAACAGAATAAACATTAATTAGAAGAGATAAAAATTAATTAATTAAAATATGCTACAATAACAAACTCCCTATATAATACTTCCCAGAGTGGTACGCACCAAATAGTCCAAGAGCAAGTAAAAAGGAATGCTTTCCCCCCCTAATTTGTAGTGGATCCAATTCCTGAAGCTAATATTGGAAACTAAAGGGGAAAAAGCAAAGAGGAGCTAATCAGAAGACTGAGTAAAACAAGAACCGGAGAGGAAGGGCTGGCCAGTAGAATATGTAGCATTGGATGTGGGCTGTCTGAGTGGGAGGGTGAGTATCTGGGAATAGAACATTTATTTTTAGTATATGGTAAGATAGATAACTTCTGGGATGGAAAAGGATGGAGAGGTGGAGAACTGCTGAAACAAGTGGGAGTTCTTTTAAAAATTATTACATACAGTATGATAAAACTGGAACATCAGAAACATTTTGAAGATGACGCTACACATCCTACAGTCAAACATTTTTTCTCTTTTTAGCATTGTTTGCTTATGTAGTTATGCTCTTTCTTCAGTAACATCAGTAAAGTTTGATTCTTCCTAAAAGTAGTATTGCTTGGGTTTTTGAGGCAGGGTTAGATAACTTGGTAACTTCCAGATGTTTTAGCCATCTCCCACAGTCCTTGGCCACATGTAGAAAGAAAACTGCTGGGGTTTCAACAAAGCGGCATGGAAAACTTCCAAGTAATATGGATTTTTTTTTTTTGGAGTTGTTCTGTTCATAATGTAATTTTACAGGCTTTTAAAATTTATTTTTTGGTTATTATTGTTAATTTTGAGATAACATATTATTTTATGACGCTGCACATATGTGTACTTGGTCTTCTTTTAAACTCACCCACAGTGTCTGTCGTCTGATGAGGACTCAAGTACAAAATATGTTGAGGGCCACAGAGGTTTAAATAACTACTCTCAAATAAAGGGTCAGTACTGCAGACTAATAGGGCCTGACCCTTGTGATAGTCCCTTGGGTGCCGCTACATATCTCCTCCTCCTCCTCCTACATTCCTTTCTGTGCAAGGTAGAAATGCAGTGGGATACTTCAAGCCAACATCCATACTGGTTTTTTTCCTTGGGGGGCGGTGACTTTGAGTCAGTGTCGACTTCTGGTGACTGCTTGGACAAGTCCCTGCAATTTTCTTGGCAAGATTTCAGAAGTGGTTTGCCATTGCCTC